TATATATATATATATATATAAATATATATATAATACACACACTATATTACCAAAAGTATTGGGGCGCCCCTCCAGATCATTGGATTCTGGTGTTCCGTGAAATTTCCTTGCTACTAAGTATTGCACGGTCATCTGTTAGTGTATTATAACAAAGTGGAAGCAACTGGGAACAACAGCAACTCAGTCACGAAGTGGTAGGCCACGTAAAATGACAGAGCGGGGTCAGTGAATGCTGAAGTGTACAGTGCAAAGAATTCGCCAACTGTCAATAGCTACAGACCTCCAAACTTCGTGTGGCCTTCAGATTGGAACAACAACAGTGCGTAGAGAGCTTCATGGCATGGGTTTCCATGGCCGAGAAGCTGCATTGAAGCCTTACATCACCAAGTGCAATGCAAAACGTCGGATGCAGTGGTGCAAAGCATGCCGCCACTGGACTCTAGAGAAGTGGAAATGTGTTCTCTGGAGTGACGAATCCCGCTTCTCTGGCAATCCGATGGGCATGTCTCGGTTTGGAGGTTGCCAGGAGAACAGTACATGCCTGACTGCATTGTGCGAAGTGTAAAGTTTGCGGGATGGGGGATATGGTGTGGGGTTGTTTTTCAGGGGTTGGGCTTGGCCCCTTAGTTCCAGTGAAGGGAACTCTTAAGGCATCAGCATACCAAGAAATTTTGGACAATTTCATGCTCCCAACTTTGTGGGAACAGTTTGGGGATGGCCCCTACCTGTTCCAACATGACTGCGCACCAGTGCACAAAGCAAGGTCCATAAAGACATGGATGAGCAAGTTTGGGGTGGAGAAACTTGTGTGGCCTGCACAGACCTGGCCTCAACCCGATAGAGCACCTTTGGGATGAATTAGAGCAGAGACTGCGAGCCAGGCCTTCTCGTCCAACATCAGTACCTGACCTCACAAATGCTCAAACATTCCCATAGACACACTCCTAAACCTTGTCTATGGCCTTCCCAGAAGAGTTGGAGCTGTTATAGCTGCAAAAGGGTGGGCCAACTCAATATTGAACCATACGGACTAAGACTGGGATGCCATTAAAGTTCATGTGCGTGTAAAGGCAGCCGTCCCAATAATTTAAAGCTGGTCATACAGCTATAGATTATCTGCAGATTGTCTATGGTCAGATGGAAAAAGTCCAACAGATTCCTCCATCTACGTTAAACTGTGTGGATGGAGGAACCTCCCATTGGGCCAAGCGTCAGTATCTCGGTAGTTGACCCCGCTGCCTCTCAGAATACCTGAACAATACCTGCATTCAATCAGATTGTTCAGGTATTTTGAGAGCCAGCTGGGCCGACTAGCAAGATACTGAAGCTTGGCCCAGTAGGAGATTCCTCCATCCACACAGTTTAGCATAGATGGAGGAATCTGTTGGACTTTTTCCATCTGACCATAGAAAATCTGCAGACGGTCTATAGGTGTATGCCCAGCTTTACTCTGTAATGTGGGGTGATACTATGCCCTTAGAATAGGTAATTGATGTTACTTTTTGCACATATACATAATGCAAATATAATGGACATTAATTTAATTACGCTGAACTTCAGCAAGCATACAGGTGTAAAGACAAGCTACGCATACAAACTTCAAATACTATCCAAGGCTAGTAATAATTTTTAGAATATTATTACTGTTGATAAGTTGTCCCTGTTTAGGAGTGTTAGTTGAATTTGTAGCTGTTATTGAATATCACAATTACACACTTTCAGGGATTTGTATTTATATATAGCATATATCTTCAATGTCTATGAGCAGTGGTCTCACATATATTGTTTATAACAAATTAAGATGCAGGTAAGATTAAAAATTATCCATGTTCTCTCTGCTGTGAGCCCACAAATCAATATTTCTAGCCAGTCTTTCTCCAGAGAGGATGCCATGCTTAAATCCGATGACTAAACTGTGTAGACCAGTCACTGATGACTTAGCCATTAGTGAAATTAGGGCACCAGCAAATGTACAGACATTAAAAGGCTTTCAATAAAGCCAGAATTAGTAAATCTAGTTAAGCAGTGTGGTTGGTTAAACAAAGAAAGTAAAAAAAAAAGGTTTATGAAAACGGTATGAAAATCAGGGCAATGGTAGCTGGAGAATGAATGAGCACAGAACTATCCTACAGAGATGCATACCGAACAGCAGCAAAACATTCTGACTATGTTTGAATATATCCCTCTAAAACTTCTGATAAGAGACATATATAGAGAAGGATGAACCCAAGTGCTATAAATCAATGTGAAAAAAGTGTGCATTCTGAAGTCCATGCTTTGCCAATTGTGTAAAAAGCTACCTCCCCTCTTAGCACACTGTATTCTTCTAGTTTCATGGCATCGAAGGATTCTGACCAGCACATTTGGCATTGCTGCATGAAATA